GCAGGAGCTTCAAAATGTGTACTGGTACTCGGTTGAGGCTGACAATGGTATTATAAGAGGGCATGCAATGAAGAGCAGTTGCTCCGATGAGACTGCAGATGTGTACTGCTTTACTACCCGGGAACTATGGACCGTTGTCTTCCCCTCAGAATCGGAGAAAATTATTTCGACACTAACACCAACACCAAATGAGGTATGGATCTTGGTCTCTGGATCGGTTCTTATCATACCTTCTTTTCTGTTGTTAGTGATTTACACTAACCTTATTAAGAGAATATGACAGTGAATAGCTGTAAAACTAAAAAAAGAAGCTATTCATGACTTGCATGAATTTGTTTTTTTTTTCTTCAGGTTGTGCACACACAAGCGAAAGCCGTAGCGGATCAGGATGTAATGTATAAATACATATCAAAAAACCTACTGTTTGTGGCTACTGTTTCACCAAAAGGTGATGGTGATATTGGTTCAGTTACACCAGAGGAGTCGACACTTGTGGTATACCTCATCGACACTATCACCGGCCGTATACTGCACAGGATGTCACATCAAGGTTGTCAGGGGCCAGTTCATGCTGTAAGTTTTCCGACCAGTTTTTTTTTTTCTGGTAATGGTTGCAATGCAAATTTGTTTAGCCGTGGAAAAATTGTTTGCAGGTTTTTAGCGAGAATTGGGTTGTCTACCATTATTTCAATCTCAGAGCTCACAAGTACGAGGTTACTGTCGTCGAGATCTATGACCAGTCCCGGGCGGTACGTTAGCTAGATACTTCCAGCATCATATCATTTAACCCATTTCATTTGATCTATGAACCCTTTTTTTTTAAATTCGATTCGCAGGAGAATAAGAATGTCTGGAAGCTTGTTCTTGGAAAGCACAATCTAACGGCACCCATCTCTTCGTATTCACGTCCGGAGGTGATAACGAAATCACAGTCGTATTTCTTCGCTCATTCCGTGAAAACAATGGCGGTAACATCAACAGCAAAGGGTATAACATCAAAGCAGCTTCTCATCGGTACCATAGGAGATCAGGTTAAGTTCATTCCCTGAAAAGATCTTGAATGCACAACACTTTTCAAAACACTATGCTAAAAAATTTCTCCCCGACGGGTATTTTCAGGTTTTGGCACTCGATAAACGCTTTGTGGATCCACGACGGACATTGAACCCTTCACAAGCCGAGAAAGAAGAAGGGATCATCCCTCTCACGGATTCATTACCCGTCATTCCTCAGGTTTCGCACAGCGAAATTCTTTTTATATCTTTCTCATTTTCGCAAGATTTTTATTCGAATTCGAAAAACTAACACTACCTTCATTCGACAGACATACGTCACTCACTCGCTCAAAGTTGAAGGGCTGAGAGGGATAGTAACGGAACCGGCGAAACTAGAATCGACGAGCCATGTATTTGCGTACGGAATGGACATATTCTACACTCGGCTCGCGCCTTCGAGGACATATGACTCGCTCACGGATGATTTCAGCTACGCCCTCCTCTTGATCACGATCGTGGCTCTCGTCGTGGCTATCTACGTTACTTGGGTCTTGTCCGAGAAGAAGGAACTACGCGATAAATGGAGGTGATTCCACACAAAAAAAAAACTCTTGTTTTTTTTTTTGGGAGATAGCTTGAGTTTCAACTTGGAGAAACTTTTTTTTTTTGTTTAAGCAAAATATTAGTACTGCTCCCATTAATTTTTTTTACTTGTCGTTTTGGTTTCGGTTCAAGAAGAGAACACGTTGTCTTCGATTAGTTTCTTGATGTAGGCGATGACATGCAGAGTACAAGAGAGAAGCTTGTCTTCTTCACATGTTTTTTTTTTTTTTTTTTTTTTTTTGCAAAACATTATATAATAGGAACCAAAATCAGGGATGGGCCATGGCGGTGTCTGCCCTTAGAATGGGTATATGGACAAATTACACATATGGTTAGATCCTGCCCTTAATGTGAAATAAACAAATAAATAAAAACGCTGAACGTAATGTGTTGTTTTCCGAGGTTCGGAAAATGGGTTATGATGCGTTCCATCGTATGATTTCGATCGTTAGGAAAGCCCATGGAGCATCACTTGTCATGTAATATGACAGGATGTATCTACGCATATGTATCGTGTATTGCCTGCCCCTATAGGCGCTATAATATTAATATATAATACAAATTCGTGTTTTTTTTTTAAGGAAAAAAGGAATTGACACTTGTTAAATGCCACCCATCACCTCACTTCTCCCTTCAGTATAAAACAAACCCATCTTTCACTCTCACACTCGCACCGGAAGGGAAGATGAAGGGAGAGCACCAGAAGCTGAAACCCCACGCGCCGCCGCGTCCACTCTTCTCCTGCGGCTTCTGCCGCCGGTGCTCCCACTCCGTCCTCAGCCCTTCCTCCTCCCACAAACCCTCCTCCTCCTCTTCTTCCTCCTCCTCCTCCTCATCCGCCTCCACCTCCCAAAGCTTCACCCAATGGCGCTTCCCTCACCACCCCGACCCTCTCCCCCCTCCCAAAACCCTACCCCTACCCCTTTTCAACCCATCTCCCCCTCCTCCTCCTCCGCCTCCGTCGTCCATTCCCCCTCTCCCCGCCACCACCCTCCAAGAGACCTTCCACATCGCCGAGCTCCACCTCATTTCCGGCTCCGATTCCGACAAGCTCATCGCCCTCCAGCTCCTCGAGCGCTCCGTCGTCCCGGACCCGCCCTCCGACCCCACTTGCCCACCCGGTCTCATGCGCGGTCTCGTCCGATGCCTCCGCACCACCGACCGATCCGCCGCCAAACACGCCTCCAAGTCTCTCCTCGCTCTCTGCCTCGCCGAGAGTAACCGCCGCGTCGCCGTCGAGGCCGGTGCCGCCGGTGCTGTGGTGGAGACCGTCGCCGGGCTCGAGGATGCCTCGGCGGAGCGCGCGCTAGCTGCGCTGGAGCTTGTGTGCACGGTTCCGGAGGGCGCGGCGGAGGTGAGGACGCATGCGATGACGGTGCCGGTGATGGTGGCGGTGATGGCGAGGCTCGCCGGGAGGGGGAGGGAGTACGCTATGAGCATATTGGCTGTGGTATACGGTGGCGGAGGGGAGGAGATTCCGGCGGCGGCGCCAGCGGAGGAGGTGGCGAGGGCGGTGGCGCTGGCGCTTCAGGGGGAGTGTACGGCGAGGGGGAGGCGGAAAGGGGCGCAGTTGCTGAAGACGCTCGAGGAATATGGACGGTCGGATCTTAGTCAGGATGGGGCTTGATTTCCATCCAACGGTTCAGATTTTGTCAGATGAATCATCTGAAAAATAAAAGTAAACATGTTCTCGTGTCACGGGCTTTTTAAAAGTAGAGTGTGGGCCACTCGTCGTCTGTATCTCCCCCCCCCCTTTATGCGTGTGTATATAATGGTTCTTCAAAATAAAATATTATCATTTTTATTAAATACAAGGTTTTTAAATCATCTTGCAAAAATATTGTGTATAGATATTTTTATCATATATTCAATAATTCAACCATATGACGTGTTAATTTTGTTTCTTGTTTTTACAGTTTTCTTATTATTTTATTTGGTAAAATATGCAAGAGAGAGTAATTATATTCATGTAGTAATAATAATAATAATAATTAAAAATATCTCTTTTTTATTTCCGTTTTCAGTAGAAATCTAAAAATCTGAAAACGAAGGAACACACAAGTAATTATTGCTACAGTGTTTCAAGTGTCAGTTTTCACGTGTGGATGTGTCTCTGTAGGGTCTTCGCTTCAGACGCCAGAAATGCGTCATCCATCACACCTCAAAACGACGACGTCCTACATAAGCGAAATATATATATACAGAATATCAAATATGTTTTTGTTTTTTTTAATTATATTTTTATCGAATATAACGTTTTTCTGTATTTTGGACTAATTATTGTTAAACATATTTCTAAACGATTTTGCAAATACTATTTTCGGGTTGTTAATCAATTATTATACTATTATTCCAGATGCAGTAGAAGCTCAAGATATTTCGTCCGAGTTTGAATTTAAATTTTTATAATTATATTTTATTTTACGAATCAAATAAAAAATTTCTACATAAACCGACCAATTTGTCGGTAAGATTGAACGTTAAATTTGTTTTCCATTAGAGTAATGAAAATCATGGATTTTGTTTCCATTTATATATGTTATTGGGGACGAACATATATTTTACGCGCTGGATTCACTTGCCATCAAACTTCGATCAAATCTGAAAACGTTGGAAATTAAATAATCGAATTGGATTTTATTTAATTTATTCAGATTATGTTGGGTCTTACTGCTGAGACATAGAAGGTTTAGGGTTTATAATTTTTGTTTACGTAATATTAAATATAAAATTCTTAAATTTGCATAGGTTGGAATTCAAACCCTAACCTCTCATTTCTGTACACAACGAATGAGAGATTATATTCCTCGCTCTAAACAAACCTCAGCATCCTTGATAGTTTATTTTAATTTAACACTCACTAATTACTTTTTTGTTAAAACACTCACTAATTAATTACTTTATAGTTTTTGTGTAAGTTTTATAATTTAGTAGTTATATTTTTTTTTTATATAAAGTTAATATTTATACTAGAGTTTACACACACACACACACATACATATTATATATATAAAATGGGGCATCGTGTTGCTTTCAAATTACAACATGTGTTTGGGTGCGTGAGATCTGCAATCATTAATTGATAATATACCAATTGAATATATTCTGTGCTATTATCTATCTCTATAATCTCTCAATACCACTTTTCGGTCAAACATTTGATGTACCCTTATCATCATCATTATTATTATTTTATAATAACGATATAAAACGGATTGGTTCGGACCGATTCAGAACGATTCAATTTATTTTTTATTCAATCTCTTCGACCTTTTTTTTATGAGTTAGAAAAACTCTAACAAATACCAAATTATCCGAACTATGAATCAACTCGTGAAACATCTTATATTTACCTAATATCCAAATTTTTTAAAAATTATATAAAAATTAATAATTTAAAATCTAGGTAGCGAATTCATTCACTGTGTTATAAACAATATTTCTATTTATTTATTATTATATTTAGAAACAAATTACATATGTATAGATATAATCTTAACGGGATACCCCACCAGTGGGAACTACCTTCTTATTGTCGATTTCTGTAATTTATTTGTTCACAAAAAAACAATTTGTGTAGTGATTACTAATCATTACAGAAATTAAATCAGACTGATAAAGCACAAATTTTTCTTTATTTAATCAGTTGTTCACATCCGACATAGAATCCCTTACTTAGAAGCATTGTTCTCCTCACCGGCCTCTAATATATAAAACCACACATTCCAAAAAACCTAAACTTATCAACACTACATATATATACATACATATATATATTGATATATAACCAAATCTCCTCGCGATATGGTGCGGTACCATTACAACTTATGGCTCTTCATTTCATCGCTCCTTGGCCTGACCGCATGGACCGCTCGGTCCGTACCACCGGAACCACCGGTCCAATGCAACCAAACCGGTTGCATGGTCTCCAACGCGTACGGAGCTTGGCCGGACCGCAAGGTCTGCCATGCGGCGAACGTAACCTACCCCACGACGGAGGAAGATCTCCGTCGCGCCGTGGCTTACGCCGTCGAGCACAACCTCAAGATCAAAACCGTGACCAAATTCTCACACACCATACCGAAACTCGCCTGCCCTTCTTCATCCGGTTCACCCGGTACAATTCTGGTTAGCACATCCCGGTACGATTCGGTTATCGAGATAGACCCGGTCCGGTTAACTGTGACGGCGGATTCGGGAGCCTCGCTGAGGGCATTGATCGATAAGGTTGAAGAATCCGGGTTTAGCCTCGGAACGTCGCCGTATTGGGAAGGCGTGAGCGTCGGTGGCTTGATCAGCACCGGTTCACACGGAAGCGCGTGGGGGGCACGCGGCGGTTCGGTTCATGACCACGTCGTCGGTCTGAGCCTTGTGGTTCCGGCGAGCTCATCGGAAGGCTTCGCTAAGGTTATTAGAATCGAAGAGAAGGACGCGGAGCTTCTTAACGCCGTTAAAGTCTCGTTGGGCGTTTTGGGAGTTATCTCTAAGGTAAGGATACCTAACGCCGTTATTGGCCGTTTTATAAACGCCGTCAACTTTTCTAACGCTGTTAACTGTTCCTTCGATTTTGCTTCCAGTTTTAAATGAAATATCTTTTTCCTTTTCTTTACTGGGACATGAAAGAAAACTATAAATTATTTATATGTATTTATGTTGAATTTTTAATATTTTTTTCTCACCTAAGCCTACCTTTTTCACTTATTCTTGTCAAGCTGAATTCATTGATATATATATATATATATATATATATAAGCTGCTTCCTTTGGATAGATAGAGTCGAAATCAATGCCATAATAAGTGTAGAAGGATTCCAAGCACTACTAACGCCAAAGGGTCCTCCTCCATATGATTCTTTTAGGATTGAATTATGAGTAGTAATTATAATCAAAGTAATATATATATATATATA